TGTCAGACTGATCCCAGATTTTCTAGCCTTTAGACTGTGAGAAAATAAATTTCTAATCTTAAGCCACTGGGTCCATGGTACTTTATGTCAGCCTCAGCAGACCAATATATTTACTTAAGTGTTAAGTCATTCAGTTGTGTTCAGCTCTTTGCAAACCCACGGACTGTAGCCCACCAGGCTCCTCTGTCCATGGGATTCTCCAGGCAAGAATACTGGAGTGGGCGGGCATTCCCTTCCCCAGGAGATCTTCCCAACCTATGGACCAGACCTGAGTCTCTTGCATTACAGGCAGATTCTTTACTGTCTGTGCCACCAGAAGCCTCTTTCATTTATTCCTGTTTCCTTAATGAGAATGCCCACTTCTCTGGATATGTCTAAAAAAGCCTTAATTAAACACATTTTTTTTCTTAATACACTGATAGGATATGGAACTATGGTTAACAATGGAGTATTGTATCATTCAGAACTGCTGAGAGTAGATCTAAATCATTCCCTTATACACACAGAAAAATAGTTAACTACATGAGGTAAGGGATGTTAGTTATTTTAATTTTGATAATCATCCCACACTGTATATGTGTATCAAATCATGTTGTATCCTTTAAATATATGTGATATTTTTGTCAACTATCCTCCATTCAAGGTAAAAATCCATATCCAAAAATAATGTGTATCAGATATCAATAATATTAAAATTTTTCAATAACTTTAGTGAATTACTTTTTAGTTGGATACATGTTCAATAAAAACAAGTTAAAAATAAGAAAACATTCTTCATCAAAGCATAAATTAAAATTGGAATACACATTTTTTGTCATAATAAAGAGTTTTAAAACTTTTCATTTTATGTTGGCATATAGTTGATTAACAATGTTGTGTTAGTTTCAGGTATACATCAAGGTGATTCAGTTATACACACACATGTATCTACTGCTTTTCAAACTCCTTTCCCATTTAGGTTGTTAAATAATATTGAGCAGGGTTCCCTGTGCTATAACCAGCAGAAGGTCCTTGTTGGCTATCCATTTGAAATATAGCAGCCTGTGCATGTCACTTCCAAACTCCCCATCTCTTCCCTCCCTCCTTCTCTTCCACCCTGTAACCTTAAGTGTGTTCTGTAAGTCTGTGAGTCTGTTTCTATTTTATAAATAAAAGATACCTTTATAAATTATGTAAAAAAGCAGAATGTATATAATCTATTATTATTAAAATATACATATATTAATCATAAAGCAGATATGCCTAATACAAAAGGAACTAAATAGTGATACAAAAAGAATATAGGGTATGAATACTAAGTTAGAAAAAGTGAAAAAAATTGTTAAATATTTTATAAATCTTATAGTACTTATAGAAATTGAATATAAAAAAATGACACAGCACCTTTGATTTGGGCTACTTTAAAAAATTCTTTCTTAAAATAATATTTATTTATTTAAAAAATTATTTCAAAATATTGACTATGTTCCAAGTGATGGGTTTTAAGTGTTTTGGGTTTTTATTTGTTTGGCCTTATACATTAGGACAATGTTTTGAAATTTTATTATAATGAGAAAATAATAGTATTGAAATTAAAAAAATAGGTATATGTAAAAATAAAACAGAATAGCACAGTGGAGCATAGGTATTCCAGAGAATATCAACTCCAAATTGAATTAAGGAGGATAAAAAGTACTCATGTCCTGGGCAAATAAGCTGCAGATCCTCACTTCTTTCCTTAGTATAGACTGTTTACTGCTACTGGCTGCCTTCCTCAATCAAAAGCCGGCTCTCAAACATTAATAAGGACACCGAATTTATCAACCTGCCTTGCAACTGTCAGCACATTCCATTATTTTTAAGGTAAAACTCACGTGCTTTAGTGGTAAACACTGCTCCTTCAAATATTATCTTCACTAAAAACCATCAAATCTGTTCAAAATTGAACAGATGCTCAGGAAACTACTTTCAGGGAAATAAAATATTCTACTACTTATCTCAAAATTCAGCAAGTTATTACCAAAAATATTTTGTGGACTCATTTGAATAAGTGCATGGATAGATTCTGGTCACAAAATTATAATGTTTCTACTATCTACTGCCCTGGCCTATATACTCATATGCATGTACATATGTATGTATGTTTTCATTCATTCAATTAACACGTGTATACAATACCTAAAATGTGCACTGGTGATTTAAAAGTAAGCAAATGAGATGATATAAATGTAAGCTGTCTCAAGATGAGTGAATGAGTACATTAGAGCAGAAATTGTCTGGGTGGTTCTCCATTAACAATTAGGTTTCTTTACTTCTAAAAGAAGCAACTTTTCACAGTAGAAGCTGAAAACACTGAAGTCACACTTTTATACATAGATGCACACCCAAGTTTGGGGAGACTTCTTAAAACTGTACTTCCTTTATAAAAATTATGACACTTAAGGACAAACGTTTCCCCCACATCCTTGTCTTTGACTCTGTACACAGTAACATAGATCTTTAGACACTATTATTGTACAATGAGGAATTAAAGTTTAGAACAAGTCAGTCATCATGATATGAAAAAGTCTGAAATACAGACAAACAATTCTGGGTCCTTGCTAGTATAGTTTAGCTACTAAAGTTAGTTTGGCTAAAAAAACTGCCATGCTTCTAGACCTCCTGCTATTGGATGTAATAAAAATCTAGAGATTAAACTGTTTGGGAAGAGCATATGGGATGACATTCTAATTTATGCAACTTCATGGTCTACTCATATGCAATTCACTTGATTTCATATGTAAGTGTTATTCTCAAATTGACATAAAATAACAAGGTTTACAAATAATGTCTCTCACATTTTTAACAAATCCTGATTGGGGTAATTTCTGAAAGTTGATAAATTACTAATCTATATTTGAAAAAAGTGAAACTGTTAGTCACTCAGTCATGCCTAGCTGTGCAACCCTATGGACTGTACCCTGCCAGGCTCCTCTGTCCATGGAGTTCTCCAGGCAAGAACACTGGAGTGGGTAGCCGTTCCCTTCTCCAGGGAGTCTCTCTGACCCAGGGACTGAGCCTGGGCCTCCTGCACTGTAGTCAGATTCTTTATCTTCTGAGTCACCAGGGGAGCCCAAAGAGCCGTCATACAACTAAGAAGTAAATCAGGGAAAATTACTGATCTCCTTATTCTTTTCTCTCAACTTTTCTATTACTCAAAAAATTTTAAAAGCCTCATATGATTTTCTATCTTTACATAAATCTCCTAGCCTAATACCCCAAACTTACCAGCTCTAGGGAGCTTGGAATTCTTTTATTACATTCCTAATCTTCTTATGTTGAGCAAATCAAGGAACTAGACATTTCTTTGCAAATGTGAACATGCACACACAGTTGTTGTTTTTTTTCTTTTTTTCCAATTTCAATTATTTGTTGTTGATGACTGCAAAAAACTAAACCTGAGCTGAATGTTAACAGTCAAGATACCCTGAGCCTGAGTCGCAGTATGAAAGATTGAAGGCACACAGGAAAGCATTAATAGCTTGGATTTTCTACTTTTATCTATCATATACAATGAGCAGAGGGCTGATAGTCAGAGAGCATTAATGAGAGTTAATTCACATTTTCCTTGGTATGCTAAAGAACATTTTGTTATAAAAGAGGTTAAAGGAATGACAGGAAACATGTTTATGAATGACTAAATGGTAAAATATTTCCAGATTCATGACTTGCATGGAATAAGAATTTAATAAATATTGGTTCTCATGATAGGAACACCTTTGCATGACTCTAATCCAAAAGTAAATGTGTCAGAGAAAAGTGAGAAGTTATTTTTTACTGTTTTCAACAGAAAAACTAAAGAATTTTCCAAACATTAAATAACATGAAGAATCATCTCAAATTAAACCTGAAGACAGATTGGGAGGATCACTATAGTGGAAACATTTTTGAAAAACAGATATCACACACAAATTAATTTACATTTACTTATTAAACAAAGTATTATTCCTAGTACTAAAAGCCTAATATTCTATTACTCTACTGCTTTTGGGAATGCAGGTGTACCACAAGCACAATTAAAGGCTCAGCTTCTCTGCTCAAGGGAGATAAAAGAAGTATCTGTATTAGTTTCTTCTTGCTGCTATAACAAACTACTTTGATCTCAGTGACTTAAGCAACACAACTTATTCTCTTAAGGGTTTGAAAAGTCAGAAGTTTGAAATGAATTTTACCAAGCAACATCAAAGTGTTGGAAGGGCTGTTTATCCCAGAGGCTATGTGGGAAAATCCTTTGCCTTGTCTTTCCTCCTCCAACTTCTCCAAAGGTTATGTAATCTTTTTTTTTTTTTTTTACTTAAGCCATCCTGTATTACTCTTATTAAACACTTGTACAATATATTCAGGATACACCTAGATAACTGAGGATAATCTTCCCACCTCAAGATCCTTAACTTAATGACATCTGCAAAGTCTCTTTTGACATAAAATATCACATTCGCGGATTCTAGGGATTAGCAAGTGGATATATTTTGGAGGCCATTAGTCAGTTAACCATAACCATAGTTTGTGATAGATGCTACCTACAGTCTTGTAAAGGAAAGTATAAGTAATGAAAATCAATCAACCATGATTAAATATGAAGATTATAATAAAAAGACTAGTGCAGGGATCTCTGAAAGTCAAGAATGTAGGTCGCCAGTGAACCTGATCTCTCGAAAATCGTTCAATATATGCTCACTGTAATGTAAGCATTCTGAAAGGCAGTATTCCTTAATGTTGAATTAAAGTAATTGAAGTTTACAAAAAGACTTTAAACACCTTGAAATGAAGTCTGCCTTTGATTAAGAATGTACCCAGGAAACCATATCTGTATTTATCTCCATTAATTAAGTAGGCAGTAAAAAATGAAAGAACCTTCAATTCAGTCAAATATAACTCTAATTCCTGTGAAAACCTGGAAATTAAATTTAAGCTAAATAGTATTATAGATAGTCTAGGTATTGAACCAGCCAGCTGGAGAAAGTAGGAAGAAAGATGCTTACCTTAAATAATAAATCCTTCTTCCCATAACGAAGTTCCTTCAGCTGGGATTGAACTTTTTTTGACTGTAAGAATAAAAACATGAATTAGAGACTTAATTTCATTTACATTTTCAAATGCCAAGATTAAAATTTCTTTAACTGCACAAGAATGAACTTTGCAGCCAAACAAAAAAAGAGTTTAGCTAGTCTAGAAGTGAAAAAGAAAAGCTTAATCTCTGCTTTGGGAGTCAGACATCCAGCTATTCTAGGCAGGAAGAAAAAACTGAAACCTGTTCAAAGAAGTGTACTGTTTAAAAGGTAATATTTAAAGAAAGTGGCTTATTGTTCCTCTCTTCAACCCTCCCCCACAAAATTCACACACACAGCATGAGTCACCTAGGCATACCCACTGAAAGATGAACTCCCAGGTTGGTATTTGCCCAATATGCTACTGGAGATCAGTAGAGAAATAACTCCAGAAAGGATGAAGAGACAGACCCAAAGCAAAACAACACCCAGTTGTTGATGTGACTGGTGATGGAAGTAAAAAGTCTGATGCTCTAAGAACAATATTACATAGAAACCTGGAATGTTAGGTCCATGAATCAAGGTAAATTGGAAGTGGTCAAACAGGAGATGGTAAGAGTGAACATCAACATTTTCAGAATCAGTGAACTAAAATGGATAGAAATAGGCAAATTTAACTCAGATGAATATTATATCTATTACTGTGGGCAAGAATTCCTTAGAAGAAATGGAGTAGCTTTCATAGTCAACAAAAGAGTCCAAAGTGCAGTTCTTGGATGCAATCTCAAAAAATGAGAGAAATCTGTTGATTACCAAGGCAAGCCATTCAATAATATAGTAATACAAGTCTATGCCCTAATCAGTAATGCTGAAGAAGCTGCACAGTTCCATGAAGACCTACAAGACCTTCTAGAACTAACACACAAAAAAGATATCCTTTTCATTATAGGGGACTGGAATGCAAAAGTAGGAAGTCAAGAGATACCTGGAGTAACAGGCAAATTTGGCCTCGGAGTACAAAATGAAGCAGGGCAAAGGCAAACGGTTTTGCCAAGAAAATGCACTGGTCATAGCAAACAACCTCTTCCAAATTCACAAGAGAAGATTCTACACATGGACATCACCAGATGGTCAATACTGAAATCAGATTGATTATATTCTTTGCAGTCAAAGANTGTATGCAGGTCAAGAAATAACAGAACCGGACATGAAACAATGGACTGGTTCCAAATTGGGAAAGTAGTATGTCAAGGCTATATATTGTCACTCTGCTTATTTAACTTATATGCAGAGTACATCATGCAAAATGCAAGGCTGGATGAAGCACAAGCTGGAATCAAGATTGCATGAAGAAATATCAATAACCTCAGATACGCAGATGACACCAACCTTATGGCAGAAACTGAAGAACTAAAGAGCCTCTTGAGGAGAGTGAAAAAGTTGGCTTAAAACTCAACATTCAAAAAACTAAGATCGTGGCATCTGGCCCCATCACTTCATGGCAAATAGATGGGGAAACAATGGAAAAACCATGAAAGACTTCATTTTGGGGGCTCCAAAATCACTGCAGATTATGATTGCAGCCATGAAATTAAAAGACACTTGCTCCCTAGAGGAAAAGCTATAACCAAACTAGACAGCATATTAAAAAGCAGAGACATTACTTTGCCAATAAAGGTCCCTCTAGTCAAAGCTAATGTTTTTCCAGTAGTCATGTACAGATGTGAGAGTTGGACTATAAGGAAAACTGAGCCCCGAAGAATTGATGCTTTTCAACTGTGGTGTTGGAGAAGACTCTTGAGATTCCCCTGGACTGCAAGGAGATCAAGCCAGTCAATCCTAAAGGAAAGCAGTCCTGAATATACCTTGGAAGGACTAATGCTAAAGCTGATGCTCCAATACTTTGGCCACCTGATGGGAAGCACTGACTCAATGGAAAAGACCCTGATGCTGGGAAAGATTTAAGGTAGGAGGAAAAGGGGATGACAGAAGATGAGATGGTTGGATGTTATCACTGACTCAATGGACATGAGTTGAAGCAAGCTCTGGGAGTTGGTGATGGACAGGGAAGCCTGGCACGCTGCAATCTATAGGGTCACAAAGAGTCAGACACAACTGAGCAACTGAACTGAACTGAGACGTATCTATACATATACCTGCAGATAGGTATTGCTCAGTTTTACTGCTTATTTTAATTTTATAAATTCTTAAAGATTAAATATAACATGAGTTTCAGTTGACAGTCAAGTTTATATCTAGATTATATATTGAATATAAAGGGGAGGTAGCAAGCAAATGTTTCAGGAGGTGAGGGAAGTAGCTAGAATGCTAAGAAGTTAAGGTGAACAGTGTTTGTTAAGATAATAAACAGTGTTTATTAGGATAATGCTTTTTATGAGGACTATTACAAACAAAAAAGTGTTGTAAGAAAGACATATCTCCCAGCAGAAATGTTTGTCTACTGTTTGGAAGACATTCTGGTGAGCCACAGATAGCTGATTAAGCATTTCTATTTTTCCAGAGCAGATCGAATTTCAAACATTCTAACATTAGGACCTCAATTATTTGTCTTTCTACATCTAAGATTATAGGTTCTGATTCTTCAGCAGGATTAAAAAGAATACATGCAAACATATTATCACAGTTACATGAAATGATATTTGAAAAACAGGTTAGTGAGTATGCAAAATGCTGTAGTCATTTTGGGAAACTGGTTGATACTTTCTTATAAATTAGACAGAAATTCTTTGTAGGTATTCACACAAGAGAAATGATAATATATACATAAATGCTTATAGTATTTTTATCCATAAGAGTCAAAAGCTGGAAATAACCTACATGTCCCTTAAGTGGTGAATAGTAAACAAATTATCATACATCCATGAAGTGAAATGCTAAAAAAGAGTGAGCCATGTTTTAAATAAAGTCTCAAATATGTAACAATATGGGTCGATTTCTAATGTCTTATACTATGTAGTCACAAAAAAGCTTTATTTTGTAAATACCATATATATGATATCACAGAAAAGACAAAAGACTAGGGATGTAAATCAGGTTACTAGTTGACATGGGCTGGGGGGGTTGGTGGTAGAGATTATAAAATATGAAGTGGGAGGTTTAGTTGTTTTTGTTGTTTAGTCACTTAATCCTGTCTGACTCTTTTATGACCCCATGGACTGTAGCCCGCAGCGCTCCTCTGTCCATGGGATTTCCCAGGCAAGAATACTGGCTGCTGCTGCTAAGTCACTTCAATCGTGTCTGACTCTGTGTGACCCCACAGACGGCAGCCCACCAGGCTCCTCTGTCCCTGGGATTCTCCAGGCAAGAATACTGGAGTGGGTTGCCATTTCCTTCTCCAGGGGATCTTCCTGACTCAGGGACTGAACTCATTGTATTGCAGGCAGGTTCTCTACCACTGAGCTACGAAGGAAGCCCTAACTTGAATACTGGTCAAACCCTCAAAGTATATACCTAAATGGGATTAATTCTATGAAAAGTATACCTCAATAAAATTCAATTTTATCAGCTGACCAAAAATTCAATTTATCTAGCTGACCAAAACAGCTACATGTGAAATATTAAATTGAACATTCTTTAACACCATATACAAAACTAAACCAAGAAGAATTAAAGACCTAAATGTAAGATCAAATACTATAAAACTTTTGGAGGAAAATATGCAGGACATGAATCATTGCATTGTTTTTTGGATCTGTCTCCAAAAGAAAAGAAACAAAAGCAAAAATAAACAAATGGGACCTAATTAAACTTAAGAAGTTTTGCACAGCAAAAGAAACCATCCATGAAACTATAAGACATGAAACGATGTTTAACATTGCTAATTATCAAGACCATGCAAATCAAAACCGTAAACATATATTACCTCACATCTGTCAGAATGGCTATCATCAAAATGTCTACAAATAACAAATGTTCTTAAGGATGTTGAGAAAAAAGGACCCAAGTATACTGGTGCTTTAAATTGGTGCAACCACTACAGAAAACACTATGGGAGTTACTCAAATGACTAAGAACACTAATTCAAAAAGATACATCTTCCTAAATGTTCATAGCAGCATTGCTTCAATAGCCAAGATATGGAAGTGTCCATCAAAGATGAATAGATAAAAAGGATGCTGGTATAAATATATACAATTAAAGTCAGACAGAGAAAGACAAATACTCTATGATACCTCTTATATGTGGAACCAAAAAAAAAAACATAAATAAATCTAAATTAAAAAAAACAAAAACAGGCTGCTCAGGTAGGACCCAGGCTGGACCGCGGGCCCTGGCCTGGGGTCCACAAAAAAAAAAAAAAAAGACTCACAGGTATAGAGGACAAACTAGCAGTTACCAACAGGAAAGGGGTGATGGGGAGGGGCAAGGTAGGTATATAGGGTTAAGATATAAAAGCTATCATGTATGAAGTAAATTAAGTATCAAGGATATATTGTATAGCACAAGCAAATATAGCCATTATTAAATAAAATATAAAACTCTAAATGCCTATGTTATATATCTGAAACTAATAAAAATCAATTATCTTTCAATAAAATAAAAGCATAGGATAAATCAAGTACACCTTCAGTTTAGATGCAGGATTTAATACAGTCTTAATTTCTTGACTATTTTTTTCAACTTAGCTTTAAAAATTCTGTAATGAAATGGTTTTCAAATCTTAATGTACACAAGAATTACCTGAAGGGCTTCTTAAACCACAGATTAAGTCAGTGAAACTATTCTATATGATACTGTAAGGGTGGATATATGTCATGTATTTGTCAAAATCTATAGAATGTACACCACCAAGAATGAACCCTAAACTAAATTAGGGACTGTGGATGATAATCATGTATCAGTGTAGTTTCATTGATTATAAAAGATTTACCATTCTGGTGGAGGATGTTGATAATGGTGGAGGTTATGTGTGGGGGCAGGAGTATATGGGAACTCTGAACTTTCTGCTCAATTTTGCTATGAACCTAAAACATCTCTAGAAAATAAAGCCTATATAAAAACCAAAAAATAAAAGTAGCTGGCCATAGTACCTAGTAAATTACATGATCCTCATGGAATTACTATATCCTAGTAAACAGTGCTGATATGAAAATCATCTTTAATAAGTAAATCCCACTTATATTTTTGAAATATTGTACTTTTCTAAGCATTCACTGAATGTTTATGAGTCTTTCAGTTATCAAACTGCAACTGTTATTCAGTTTAATTTTATATTCAGAATGTTTCCAACCATGCAAATTATTTTAGTTGGCAAAATGGGGGACTGTGTTATGATGGTGTTATAATTACTAAATCATCAACTAATGGTGGAAGCTTCATCAGTTAGAGTAGAATCTTGAAAATGTTGTGAATGTCACACCCTTGAAAGGTTCAAATATTAGAAACAATTTTTCACAGACATTTCCTTCAGGAGCCAACTGCATTGATTTGTTGAATTAAGAAAATGAAACCTCTAGGAATTCATAAATAAGAATGCAGAAATAATATGTCCTCTAAGAAGCTAAGATGAAGAAAATATGAGTCTTTCTTGAACTAAGGGGCTAAAAACTATAGGTAGACCCAGATTGTCATTGTTGTTTTTTCATTCTTCTGTTTGTTTCTAAATACCACACACACCTTCTCCTAGGGCCACCTCTTTTTCATGTACATGGGTATTGTGTGAACTCTGGGAACATGTAAATTACCACAGAATATAGCTTCAATTCAGATGGTCCTTATTCAAAACAGCTCCACTTGCTTACCCTCTTAAAGGTAATATTCAGAAACTGCACACTATGTATGCCATATGTCTAGAAACTTAGCAAATATAAACAATATGAGAGTCTACTGATATCCAAATATAAAAGTACAATGGAGAAAATACCATCTATATGACATTCATTTTGATTTTTCATTTATTGGGCATCAACCTTTCAATTTCAATGTATTTAACAGCTCTATTCATTTCATATATAATATTATTGTAAAGACATTTAAATGGATAATCATATTGCATGCTAGACTCTCAATAGTGACTTATACATGTCCACCAGGGAGTATTCTCACCTTCTTTAATTAAAAAACCCCAAATTCTGCATGAGCACACGAACACCAACCTAATGGCCTCTTCCAGGTTTCTACAAGTTAGCTAGGCTTGTGACCTAGTTCTGGCAAATAGGATACAAGGACATATGTGCCATTATTTCTAGATAGCCTCCTAAAGGGCAATGTTTGTGAGTCACCAGGTAATATTTCCTGTTCCTTCTGCTAGAAGGTGACAGTTATCAGGAAACAGCTTTTGGAATAAGAGGTGGCTCCATATTTAGGAGATGGTGGAAGTTGTTCACCAGCTCTGTGCCTTGCTTCTAATCTGCTAAGGGGAAAGGGATAAACTTGTGTTAGACTGTTTTTGTTCTACCTAAACCTCCCTCCTTCCCCCTTCCTTTCACAAGTATCTGGTTTTCACTGAAGACTAACATGCCTGGGCCTTATCATTCACAGGCATTTCCATCATCATCATTATTATTCTTTTTTTTTTTTCACAACTAGTCTTTTTGTGTGCCCCTTTGAGGCTCCAAGTTAACACATTGAGTGCAGTCCCCTCTCCTCGAAGTTTCTCACTTACTATGGCACTATTTCTACTCTCTTTACTGTCACTAAGGGCTACTGACTGGGAGCTATATTTCTACAACACTATAGATTCATTTGGAAGATCAGGAAAAGAAAAAAAGGATTTTAACTAAACCTGGATTAAACAGAATGACGTTTTCCCCCACTTAGGGGGCAATATCGTATGAGACAATATTTTTGTCCATCAAATAGAACCAGTGAATTGTTTCTTTCGTTTTATGTTCAGTCCTAGAATCCTCATTTTGCCGCTCTAGTGTCACTCCAACAGGTACAAACATCACAGGGCTGTTGTTGTTTAGTCGCTAAGTCATGTCCAGCTCTTTGTGACCCCACGGACTGCAGGCTGCCAGGTTCCTCTGTCCATGGCATTCCCCAGGCAAGAACACTCGAGTGGGCTGTCATTCCCTTCTCCAGGGGATCTTTCAGATCCAGGGATAGATCCCGCCTCTCCTGCACTAGCAGGAAGATTCTTTATCACCACATAAAGGGCACAAAAGTGAAAACTTCATGGACTTCCAGGTGTTTGCTAGTAAGGAACTCTTAATAATCCAATTAAGGAAGGAATCCAGAATATCACTTAGGAAAGGAACACTTAAGTGGCTTAACATTTTTTCTATTTGGTGATGAAATGTTAAAACATCCAAAATACCTAAAAGTTTAAAATGTGTTTTTATTTTTTTATTCCAATGTTTGCAGTTATGTTTTAAGGGAACAGAGTCACCAGATGTCTGGGTTAAAAAAAAATATCTGGCACTAATACTGTCTCTATTCAGTTAAAGCTATAAGAGGAAAACTTACTCACCTCTTCTGCACGTAGGCCACATAGCTTGTTTCCAAACAAGAGTTTGTGTTTCAAGCTTTTATTCTGAGGAAAGAAACATAGTTTTATTGCTAAGAAGTTATAAAATATTAACAATTTCTTTAAATTATATCAGCAGCGCTTCTGTTTTGTTCACAGGTAAGTCCTTCATAATACGAGATGTAGCTGTTTGCATAAATTGAGTAGAATCTGTACTATAAAAGATTGTTTTTTTATTCAACAAAAATTGATGGATTTGATGTATTGGCATTAACACAGTTATTCAAACATATGGAACTTTCTTTGGTCTTACATTTAAATTTGTTTCTTATATTTACGTATGCTGTTTTCTAAAATAATTTTGGTTTCAAATTTGTAATTGATACTAGTTTCTGAAAGCACCCTCTAAAGAGCAAGCATTTATTTCTACCATCCTCTGGTTACGCATCACCTTGGAATCTAGTTTAGTACAGTCACGGATGCACTAGGTTTAAACACTATGGTTTTAGAGTCCTCGTGTTTCTGACACCTGTGCATCGCACTCAAAGGGCATTTTGATGCTCAGAAACCATTTCTTCTTCCAGGCCTCATAAGAGTACTCTATCTGCTGGACTTGACCTAGATTCATAGACAAATGTTTGTTGCTTCAGAAATGGAGGCACAGTGTGAGCCATCGAATCTAAACCCTTACAGTGAGTCAATTACATCTCCCTCAGGACACTCGGGCTTTTGTGCCTTTGTCTCATAACTGAGTACCTACTCTTCTTTTAGACAGGAAGGATAAAAGAGAGCAGAAAACTCTGTAAAAACTCACAGGATTTAGACCTTATGCTGTCTCTACACTAGCAAACAATGCAATGGAAAGCACATCTCATACATAACTACTCTAAAGAGAGTCAATTAGATGAGCATCATAAGCAAATTGAACTAAATTTATGTAGTGTGAATGAATAACTGAATGAATGAATACATCAAATTTAAGGCTTCTTCACACACAATCCCCACCTGATTATGAACATCATTTCCCATTTTATTTTCCTGTCATGCAAAGAGTGGTTATAGCTCCCTCAGTTGGAAAGACTCCTTTGTCTAACTTTTCCTCTTCGAGTATGAGTTGAAACTCTAAAAAACTTATTTAGAATTTAAATACCATGGACTTTTTTATACAAATGAGGAATTATCTTGATTCATTTAGTAATGGATTTTTTTTGCAAATATTTGTACTCATCATACAGCAAAACATAAGATTAAGGGTTTAAAAAGTCTTTAATGTAAAGTATTCCTGTATCTAAAAGCTCATAAACTACAGTAAAGAGACACATACTTATATTTTAACTCCACAGTATTGCTCAGTTTGTAGGTTAAAAATTACCCTTGTTTTCCTACTGTACATGTCTATTTATGACATTGACACAGGGGATCTTAAAATTTTTTATTCAATTGTCTATTTTGCTTTTTTGATTTCTCTCAGGTTTTAAATATAAGGTATACATCTTCAGTATCTCTAGAGATTTGTTGTTCACTTAGATTTTCATCACTCTAAGGCTAGAGGTCTTTAGTGGAAACACTGGTAAAATTCAATGTTAATTTTCTGGTTCAATAATTATAGTAGCACTGTAGGTTGTTATAATAGAGGTTTTGGGCAAAGGTACATGAGAACATTCTACATTAATTTGCTACTCAATGTTTGTAATGTCTTTTGGGATCTGATATTTCTAACCTGCTTTAGCACAAGCAACAATAACAAGTGGGACTGTATCAAACTAAATAACTTCTGTACAGCAAAAGAAACCATCAATGAAGTAAAAATAAAACCTATGAAATGGCAAAAAAAAAAAAAATGGTGCAAGCAAGGAGTTAATATTCAAAATATGTAGAGAACTTGTACAATGCAACAGCAAACAACCAAATAACCTAATTTAAAAAACTGGACAAAGGACATAAATGGACACTTCTCCAAGAAGATATACAAAAGGCCAACAGGTATGTGAGATTATCCTCAACATCACTAGTCATTAGGGAAAAGCAGATTGAAACAATAAAGTATTACCTCATGCTTGTTGGAATGGCCATCATCAAAAAGACAAGAGATAACAAATGCTGGCATAAATGCAAAGCAAAGGGAACTTTTGCACTGCTGGTGAGACTGTAAATTGCTATAGCCACTATGAAAAATGGTACAGAGGATCCTCAAAAAATTAAAAACAGAACTACCATATGATCCAACAATTCTACTTCCACCAAAGAAAAAACTAACTTGGAAAAGTATCTGTACCCCCATGTTCACAGCAGAATTATTTATAATTCTGGACATGGAACCAACCTAAGTGCCCCCTGATGGATGAATGGCCAAAGAAGTTGTGATATATGTGTGAGTGTATGTGTGTATATGTGTGTGTGTGTGTGATTAAAAAGAAGAAATGCTTATCATCTGTGAAAACATGGGCAAAATCTGAAATGAGGTAAGTCAGATAGAGAAACTAAAGACCAACCAACCAAACTCGCAGAAAAAGAGATCAAACTTATAGTTACCAGAAGTGGAGGGGAGAAGGAGGAGGAAGTAGAGAAGGATGATCAAGAGGCAGAAATCTGAAATTATAAGGTAAATATTATATGTACTAGGAATGTAAAGTGCAGCAGGATACCTGTAGCTAACTCTGATGGATAACACACAGAAAAATGTTAAGAGAGAAAATTCTAAGAGGGCTGGTCACAAGGAAAATATGTTTTCCCTTTGATCTTTCTTTTCTTTTTACTATATCTATATGAGAAGACGGATGCTTGTTGAACCTACTGTGATAATCATTTCACAGATACATGAAGTAAGCCATCATGATGTACTCCTTGAACTTATACAGTGATATGTGTCAATTAATTTTCAACAAAACTGGAAACAATTATTTCAAAATAAGTTAAAATATCTAAAAACAGGAATATTAAATAAATAAAATAGAGACACGCTGAGTGAAGGACATCTAAGGCCTTATGTGTTAATGTCCATACATGGATTAATTAGAAAGGATAATAAAGCTAATAATATATTTCTACTTAAAATTTAATACTTTAAATTTTACTATACTATTTACTATACTATTTAAAATTTTCATCTTCACTTAAAGATTTTACCCCCTTTTTTCTTTTTCCTTTTATTTTTCTTTCATTTGTTCATTATGTTAAATTCTAAAATGATAAAGCAGCAAATATTTCTTTTCAAATGTGTGTGACAGACTTGGACAATGCAACTATATTAGCACAAGGAAGACTGTCCCACATGGATATCCTGTGGCCATCTCCAAAATGAGCAATGATTATGCTGTGCATCCACAGTCTGCTCTGGCAGTTGATAATTCTGGGCAACCATGCAAACAATATGTTTCCATTAAGATAAATATCATTTCCAGAGCTTAAGAACTAGACTATTTCACTATTTTGAAATAAATCCGTAACTGAGGATAATCAGTTATAATCACCCATAATGGGGCCAATTGTGGGATGAAAGTAAGACTTGCAAGACCCATACTGAGATTGTTCTTAAATGACATATTTTTCAGAAACATAGACAGCACAGAGCACTGGAGAGGGAACACTGACTCCCAGAAAATTCGCTGACTTAACCTCTTCATTCAATGCTAGTGACCACACCTCTTTAATCTCGGAAAGAATTAAGACTTGCTATTTTCAGTAGTCATGTGCAGATGTGAGAGTTGAACCATAAAGAATGCTGAGCACCAAAGAATTGGTGCTTTTGAATTGTGGTACTGGAGAAGAATCCTGAGAGTCCGTTGGACAGCAAGGAGATCAAACTAGTCAATCCTAAAGGAAATCAAGTCCTGAATATTCACTGAAAGGACTGATGCTGATGCTCCAATACTTTGGCCACCTGATGTGAAGAGCCGACTCACTGGAAGAAACCCTGATGCTGGGAAAGATGGAAGGCAAAAAGAGAAGTGGACAGCAGAGGATGAGATGGTTAGAAATCATCACTGACTCAATGGACATGAATTTGAGCAAACTCTGGGAGGTATTGGAGGACAGAGGAGCCTGGCATGCTGCAGTCCATGGGATCTCAAAGAGGTGGACATGAATGAGCAACTGGACGACAACAAATCATTCAGGCATTAAGAACATACTCTTAACAATTTTGTAATCAGACATGTAGCATTTTTATCCACCCTCTAAACAATGGATCTCATCCCTATCAAATTGGATGATGCTTTCAGAAGGTCTAAAATAACAACTTACACATGTAACTATAACCCTAATTCTACGATCCAACTACGAGTATGATTTGCTGGGACATAAGAAAAAGTAGATTAAAAGAATCATAAAATGTTTAGGTGTCTGTTTTCCCTGCCTATCAAGCTTATACTATCCTTTTTCTAATAACCACATCCTGATTTTTCTTGGGAGAAACATTTTTCCATGCTAATTCTATGTGGCTATGTGATACTAACTTTACGCACTCTATCAAGGAAAAGGATAAGATTAAAACTCAGCCAATCAGAGGCTTGATCCACATTTGGTAAAGTAACATAAAAGCTGCTGATGAGACTCAAATATAAAAGTTTATTTTCAAGAATTACTTAGGAAAATATACTGAGGGTCATCACTATATCAAAACTCATCTGAGACTGAATATAACATAGAAAAAAGAACACATGAGCACGGGGAGAGATATACTGAATTCTGGTGATGTTGATGGCCCCTCCACTCCCTTCACACTTGTCTAAAGCTAGTATATATACTCCTGGGCTCTTCAGCTGTATGCTTCTAGCTTCAGCTTCTCTGTTCTCTTAATGTTGGCTTAAATCTTTTTGTCCACCCTATCTACACAACTGTAATTTTGTCAATATCTTAGGATTCAGAGTAGTAGCCTCCCCCACACCAAATCCAAACATCCAAGCTTATATCTAATGTTCATGCTTGCATCAGGATGTAGGCAGAGAACATATCCATCTATTTTGGCTTCACTAAATGAAATACAGACTCTGCTTACTACCTACTAAAAGGAAGTCTCCCAACTGGACACTGCATAAATCTGGGGTGACTTAAAACAAATCTCCCAA